TCATTAGGAGTGAATACCCAATACTATCAAATTAGAAGTTATAACTAGTATTCTAAAATATAGAGAAATATATAGTTACTAAAAATAGTTAGTTAGAAAGTATAAAGCTAAGTAAAATATGTATAAGTATAGAATACTCTAATAGATTTAGATTATAAATAAATTAGTCTAAGTATTAGTAGTTCTGTATTAGTATATATATAAAAGACTTGTTATAATAAGTATATATTAATAAAAATAAGAAGCATAATCTTATCTTAATATATAAAAAAAATACCTATATATATATATTAATATAAATTTATATAGTATATTATTTAGAGCATTGCTAATTTTAACTAGAGGGAAAATTACCGGTATGTAATTAGCCAATAAAATTGCAGGATTAGGTATAACATATAAATTAATTTTGTATAACAAAAACAAAGAATTTTTTAAAAAATCATAAATATCTCAAAAATTCATTTATGAAACCCTCTTTTGGGTTCTAACAAAAAAATTTTCCTGCTAAATTTTGCATATAATCTATGCCTTGCTCTAACTTTAATCATAGGTTAACTCTTACTCTAAACTAAAAAAAGTAAAATCTGTTTATTTATTTAATTAAACTGATCTACATATTATACAAACCGATAATTTCATTTTGGTTAATAGTTATTTTCTATTATTTATTAATTTATTTTATTTAATTTTTTTATTAAATACAATAATTATATAAGGACTTAATTAGACATCGCGCCCTGCAAAATAGATATTCTTCGCACCTAGGGGGTGATGTGATTAAATATCGCATATTCTAGAAGTTAAAACGGTTTTATTTTTTATATATTAAAACCGATTCTAATATATAAAAAATAAAGTTGACTTTAACTTTTTTCAAATTGTTTAATTAATGAATGTAAAATCAGAATCACTTAGCACTAGAAATGTTAAATTTTTAAATTTCGCATACAATTATCACTCTAATATATACACGTTAATATGAATATATTCACCTGAAATACTAAAATTCTGGATAAAACCCCAATTAGCACTAATAAATCTTAAAATCGAAGATGCTCAGTAACAGATATAAATAGTAGTATTGCTTAATGCTAGCCAAGCTCAGATGTATTAAACTCGAAAACTTTAAAAGCATTAATTAACAATTCAAAAGCAAAAGTAAAGGATAAAAAACCAGGCTAAAAAAATTTTTTGAGCTAATGCTAACTAATAACAAATATTGAACCCTAACCTAATGCTAATGCAAAATTTTCAGATTGGTGCGAATTAAACAATGTAAAATACTAGATATGTACATATGTACCAGATATATACCGATATGTACCAAATATGTACACTCTATTTGTTGCCTTTGCCTCTTCCTCTGCCTCTTCCTCTTTCTCTTCATTTGTAATAGGCTGCATTGTGACCCACTTTTCCACATTGACAACACTTATATGAGCTTCTGGAAGAAGTTTTTCTCTGACTTTGTTCTTTTTCTATACTACTTTGATAACGACGCTTAGACAGTCATCCTTTTTCAATAATATGAAGAGGATTATGAATATTTTGTGGAACTTGGATATTAGTTACTTCATTATCAGTAGAATTATTATCATTTTTTCCTTCTAATATAGCTTCATTTTTTTCTTCTGATATAGCTTGATTCTCTTCTGATATAGCTTGATTGTCTTCTTCCGATATAGCTTGATCTTCTCTTTCCGATATAGCTTGATCTTCTTCCGACATAGCTTGATTTTTGTTCACAGCATTGTCGTTTCCTTTTTTGTTATTTTGAGTATCACCATTGCATGTATTTACTTCATTCTTTTTTTTCATTATATAGCTCTGAAGAATTTTAATAATTTCACTGTCTTCAGTATTCACCGCCAACAATGTTGCTTCACAAGCTAACCCCAAATTTTGCTATATTGATTTCTTTTTTGTAAAGTTTTTTTCATAGTCGGAGCCATGAGTGGAACTGTAGATGCCTGTCGAATTGGAAGAACTTCTTTACTGTAACATACTTCATTAACAATTCCTTTTTCATGATTAAATATAATGTTCTCGTCTTCATATATTTTATTCTCTTGATAGGAATCTTTGTACCATCGTGAGAGAATCATTGATATATGAAAGGCTACAACTTTAGAATGCATCATTATATGGAAATAATGCCGACAGATAAGTTCTCTTGAAATAGTCATAAGGCATGAGCATAGAAAGGATACTGGATTTAAGATAACTATAAAATGTATGCAATGTCTTTTTTCACTACGGATATCAGAAATCTTTCAGATTTCTTTTATCTTTTTATTTCCAACTTCGTCTATTATAGACTAGAGAGTAATTTGACATGCATCATAATTGTCTTCAAGAAATCCACATGAAGTTTTTTCATCAATTTCTTGTTCAGAATTAAGTTCATAAGACGTTGGTACAATCTGATTAGCTGTAAGAAATAAGGATTCTGCTATTTCATCTTTAATTCTGTTATTAATAGTATCTGTGAGGTATTTGTTAATATTTTTGGTTACTGCTGGAAAAAGAGCATCTGCAGGAGTAGAAACAGTGGGGAATGTTGTTGAATCTTTATACAGACGAAATCTATTCCATTGTGTCTCCGCCTTCAGCCGTTGATCAAGACGATCTGCAAGTTCGGTTAATGTACAATTGGATTTGATTTCTCTTTTAATAACCCAATTATAAGATTCAACACGAGCTGTACTTTCTATTCTAGCTGTAAATATTTTTGACAGGTAAGCACGAGCCCAGAACTGACTACTTGGATGCAGGACACGTAACAAATAATCCTTGGCCATTGGATACTTATTGAGCATATTATTCCAACGTTTTTGAAAAAGTGGTTTGCAGAGACTGTTACGGCACTGATAAAAAGTTTTCATAAAATCTTCCCACTTATCGCCTATTTTAGATTTGAGATTTTTAGGCAAATTCTGTCCTATATGAAAAATACAATGCGCAGCGTATGTCTTAAAAAAAATAATACGAATTGCAGCATCAAGTGCAGGGTCCGCATTAGTGAACATAACCAAAGGCTCTGTTTGCATTGCATTCTTTATGCAGGTTAGAATCCAAGTATAGGTATCAAGAGTCTCATTGCTTACTAAGACTTGACAAACAAGTCTTGTTCTTCCATGATTATCAATAACTACGAATAACCCCAAAGGCATTTGATATAAATTTGTTTTGCTGTGTTATTATTAATAACTATATCGTAATATTTTAACCACAGGTCAGTTTGCCCAGGTGACATCCAAAATAGTCGTATAAGCCTATTCTCTTCATCCAATTCAAATTCTACGCACCATCTAGGATCATCCATCTTGTTGGCTAATAAGTAATTAAGCAGGTCTGATGCATCAGTCATTCTATTTACTGTTTCTTTTCTTTTAAATTTTTGAATAGCATTGTTAAGGTCACTATCATGGAAATGCAAATCAGAAAAATGTCCTCTTAGTAGATTTCGCTGTGTTGTAATAGAAAGGCACCCATATTTCGTCATAATTTCCACTTCTCTTAACGCATCTTCAGTAAGAGTGCGGTATTTATTCCCGAATTCTTGTGTATCAAAGTTAATATTGTGGTTATGTTCATTTACAAATGTGGTAATAGATATAAGAGTTCCAGCTTTCCCGTAAGAAAGATTTATGTACCATGGACAATTAACCTTTTTAGTTTTTGTAATTCTTTGTTTTTCTTGTTGATTCTTATTGGGTTTGTACTTTCCTCCAAATTCACAAGTAAATGTTCGTTTATGGACTACTCCAGCTTTATTTTTATCTACACGATATTTAATTACTATAAAACCGTTTCTTCTTCCATATTCTTCAAAGAAAGTTTCAACATCCGTCCAAGAATTAAATATAGTACACTCGGGTATGCCTTCTGAAGCCACCATAACTTTACATTCTTTATTAGCCAATAATACATCCTCATCATGTTCTTCAGAGTCAATATTTATTTGATGGTAAGTCAATATCTCATTATCATACTCTATATTATGGTCACAATTATTGAGCGATGCTTGGGCAGAACATTCAGTGGTATTATCAAAGCAGAAATATCTTTCTATATTTATCAATTCAGCCGGATCATAATTTGAAGGATTTTTGGTAATAGTTTTGTATGGTAGCATGTTTATTACGGTGATGATTTGAGGGAAGGCGATGAAAAAAAATCAAATCCATGAAATCTGAATTTGCATTATATATGATCTCTGGATTGTTTAGTATGTGATAAAATTAGTGTATCACTTTATGATGTAAGTATGGTATGTGATAAAATTAGTGTATCGCATTATGACGTAAGTTATTAAGTTTCCATTTATTTTGGTATGTGATCTCGCAATGTATATCGCATGATGCCACAAATTATTAATAACAATTATAAGAAGAGTGCTGCTGCATGATATAAGAGTGACTCCATTCATATATTATAGGCGAAACACTCTTTTATTATGAGCAACACTATTCTTGATTAAAGCTTCGTGGTCACATGATTGCACGCAGCGAAATATAATAAATCTTGGATTTATAATTCTTATAGCAGGGTGATATATAATGGCTTCACGGGGTGCAACGTATATATTTATTCATTATATAATTATAACTATACTATTTTGTCTAATATTTATAATTGCATTTACTTTAATTTAAATTCTAAACTAATGCTAATAACAATAATTAAAATTACTTTTTGGTAAAATAAATATTGATAAATAAGCTAGCAGTAAAATAAAATACTAGTGAACTAAACTATTAGAAATAATCTTGTCAAAAAAAAATAATTTTAAAATTATAAGGTCAGAGAAATATTTTAAAAATATAGGTTTTAGAAAATAAGCAACAATAGTTCTAATTTTAGATATATTTATTTATTCTAATATAAATTATCTTTTTTTAAACTATAAAAAAAAAAGAAAGCATTAATAATAGTATTAAAAAATAACAAAACAAAGAACAATATAAACTTATTTTATTTTAGTACTAGTTCTAAATTCAAGATCTCAATTCTAGTCTCTATTAATTGGTGATTTACCAGTCAGCCAGTGAGAGGTCATAGTGTAATGTGATATGGTTTATTTATAGAATTGTATCATTCTAAAACTTTTTTTTTTGTACTAAGTTAACCACCTTTGGGCTTCTAATTGAAGTTGTAGAGCTTATTGAGAGGAATCTAATAGTTGTTGAATCATCAAAATCAGCCTTGTGAATCACAAGATATCTTCAAAAAACATTTCACCAACTATGTAAAATTCTCTCTTTCAACAATAGTAACGCCAAGAGAATTTTACATAGTTTGTGAAATGTTTTCGAAGATATCTTGTGATTCACAAGACCAATTTTGACGATTCAACCACTATTAGATTCTTCTCAATGAGCTCTACAACTTCAATTAGAAGCCCAAAGGTGGTTAACTTAGTATGAAAAAAAGTTTTAGAATGATGCAGCCCACATTCACAAAACCCTAATTCTATAAGTAAACCACATCACATTACACTATAATCTCTCACTGGCTAACTGGCGAATCACCAATTAAGTAGCTTGCCTATTATTAGATTCTATATTAGTTGCTATATTTATAATTTAACTAAAAAGTTACTTATTTTAATTCTTTGTATCTATATACTCTGAAATTTATATTAATCAACAATTATGATAAACCAATCTAAAGAACTAATCAGAGTATATATTTCATAATAATGTCTTAATATATAAGAGATGTAACAAAAATCAGGTGATTTTTTAAAGAAAAAAGAGGGTAAAAAATTTAAAATTATATATAAAGACCTGATCAAGATATATAGTAAAAGAGGAGAAGAGAAGTAAGCCTCTGATAAAAAAAAAACAGGTGATAAATGATACTATCCTAAAATAATACTATAATATAATAATAACTATATATATCAATATAAATTTATATAGTATATTATTTATTATTTTATTTAAATATTCATTCAACTCTCTTTACTAATCATTAATTTCAAAATTTGCTAAAACAAAGAATAAAGGTTTCTTCAACAACAAATATAGAAAACATCTCTTATGATATTAAGGAAAAAGATTTAATACAAAAAAATTATTTCAAATTTCTTAACACAATAAATTGAATATAATTAAGCATAAAAAAATATAATACTCTTTACAAGTTTTTGATGAAAAAATTAAGAGATTTGGAATTTCATTCTAGACCTGTAAATTTAATAATATAAAATACATGCCAAAAAATCACCAAAACAATAAACAAACAAAATAGACACATTTTATTTTAAGAAACAACAACAGACAGCAACAACAAACAATAAACAAACAAGCAATCATATTCTATTTTGAGAATACTAATGATTATTAACAACAACAAAAGTAACTATAATATGTAATTACCTAGAAGACAATAAAGAAATTTAAAAAGCTTTAGAAACAGATAGAATCTGGAACAACAAAACTTGTTATAACTAGTTTATTAGCATATATATATAGAGCAAATGAAAAAATCCTTAAGTATATAAATGACAACAAGTTAGTAGAAGTTCTACTAATTTATATACTGATGAAGCTATACAATATAGACAACTTAGCCAAAAATCTAGTGATAAAAAACCCAAACCATGTAACAGTATATAAAGTTTTATTATATAGCCAAGTAAAAGATGCTTTAAAAGAAGCAGATCTTTGCTTTCAAGAAAATACAGTTAAAAGATGAGCTAAAAAAGCCAAGATCACAAGAAATAATCTAGCATCGATTAAATATATAACAAATATAAGTAAGAAAGAAATTCAAAAAGAGAAGAACAAAATAGATAGAATAGAAAAAGAAACTTATTTTGACATAAATCAAATAACTAGTCTCAAAAAACAAAAACAAAGTAAAAAAGAAATGGTCAACAGAGATATAAATAGTGTAGTAGAACAAATACAAGATCTAAAAATCAAACCAAAATAGCAGAACCAAACAAGCAATATTTGTAACTCAAAAGAAAAATCTTCAAAAAGCTCTATAGCTATAAATAATAGCACAAACATATTTAAAGAGAAAAAGATTAAAAAAGACAAAAACACACCAATAAACAGAACCCTAATCGATTTAATTAAACAAAAAAAAAATTATAAACAAGACAAATCTATGTTAGTAGAATCTGTAAAGAAGGAGATCGAATCTTTTAAACTAGCCTGTTCAATTGAACAAAGTATTTGGTTACCAAGTAACAGAATATATGAAGAAGATAAATCATTCTGTGCCAAAGCACTAGCATTTAAAGTATCTGATGATTCTTCTAAAGAGAGAACTATAAATATAAAAAAAATATTAAATAAAGACAAACTCATAATATCAGTGCAGGAGGTAATTTGATTACGAATATAGTAGAGAAGAAGCAATCAAAAGAATTCAAAAAAAGAAGGAAATTGGATTTGTTTAATTCTAGTAACTGATAATAAAACAAAAAACTCAAGATCTAAACAAAGAAATCAGAGTAATAAACTGAGAGTAAAACAAAACTCTGACTACAAGACTAGAGAAAATAACACAAAGAAAATTACTTATGAAATAGAGAGAAACTCACAACAAAATAAAAGATATCACAATGATAAACTAGAAGCACCAAGAAGATACAATCATAATAGATATATAAATATAAATTGTATCACAATCTGGGACCTGCTAGTACTGTAGATATAAATACAAAAAAAGTTAGATACATTTGTAAGAAATTAGATACAATTAAGAATATATATATTAAATGAAAAAATAACAAAGCTTTAGTGGTAGTAGAATTCAGTAAAAGTTTAGATAATATAGATATATCTTGGGCTCATCCAGTAGGTAATAGAAGATTAGCTCGTATCTCTATAGGAAAGAAGACTATGAAGAAAAAGACAAAAGACAGAAATTTATTACAAAACTTTCAAAAATCACTGAAGGTCTCTCAGAAACCTTTTTACTAAAAACATCTTAAAGACAAAAAGGCAAAAGCAGTCTATATTTTAAAAAGAAGATATGGCTACATAAAGCAGATAGCTAAAATAACCTTTACAAACAAATAGAAAATAGAAGAAGTGCATAAAAAATCAGTAAAATACAATAGTTTAACTCTCTAATAAGTACTTTATCAGAAAATATGCCAAAAGAGAAGAAGAAGCAAGACATCAATTGGAGA